AAACTCGCCTCGAGCACGCCGCGATTGGCCTAAATCCGGCGGGTGCGCAGCTCCAGTTAGAGGCGCAGCATCCTAACGGGAGCGGTGCACGCTAGGATCCGTCCCAGAAGTGTCTCCCAATCGTGGCTAGTCTTTTTGCCAGGGTCCAGCGAGTCCGAGGACATGCGAAGCGCGAGGTGCTCGGTGCCTTGTGGTGAATTTTGTGGAGGACGTCATGATTTGCGCCGTTCATTGTACGGCGCTGAGTCAAAGCTTTTTGCAGGGTAGAGCTTGCAGTAGTCGTAAGTTGCAGTGGTCAGGGGTCGCTATCAATAGATGATGCTCACAATGAGAGGTAGTGGGAAAATACAAAAAGAAAACCATGAGGAAACTCTTCGCGTGCAGGTGTTTAGCGCTGCAGCGTCAGTGCTTCGCTCACATGAAACCGATAGTCTTGGAAAACGCGGAAGTGCGTCTCCGCGTGGACACAGAACCGCGCCCGGGAGTAGTTTTCATAGTCACCACTATATTCGCTAAACATCTTCGAGTCGTCAGTCCATCCCAGCACATGACAGGTGCGGCGCCACACGTCTGCCGGGATCTGCGTGATGCGAATCCACCCGCGCATGGAGCACTGAATGCGGATGTAGATGGCGAGTGTCCTTCTTGGCGAATGTCCCGTACAGCCGAGGACATCCAAAATCTCCGCCTGCACCTTGTAGCGGCACAACCCGTCAAGCAGCCCGCGCGTATACAGATCCGCGGGGAACTTGATCACGAACGGGTAGTCCTGTGGATTTGCTTTGACGGGAACCGTGCAAACGGCCCACGCCTTGCGCCTGTCGTCCGTTTGGATGGTAACAAAGTCGTCGTGCATCTCCAGGAAGGAGGCGAGCCGCAGGCCAGTAGCCTGCCAGATCATGTACCATGCCCGGAATTTGCCCCGCAATTGGGCCACTTTGTGAAATCGCACGACGCAAGCCTTCGCGGGCTCTTCCCGCTGTGCCAGCATTCGGATGTTCTTCCGCAGACGCGGAAGGGTGTGAAAAACCCAGCAGGATTCTGCCATAGACTTTTCGTCCACTAGCAAGTCGACGACGGTGCTCACATAGTCCTTCGAGGACTGGCCGCAGCCTTCGGTGAGTACTAACCACTCGCCGTACTGGTAGAGGTGCGTAGAAACTTCGATGCTGGGAGTCCCGGGGCGGTACGGGATGCTTGGGTGTAGTCGGACAAATTTCAACCAGGAGGCCCAACGCGACCTGCGAGCCTTCGTACTATTTTCCGCGTAAGCCCTCTCCCGCGGGCCGCTCGGCAGCTGTACTGCGCTTGTCGGTCTTCCCGGATTTCCGGACTGCTGGCGCGTCGAGGCCGAGCCGCGCTCGGGTCGACGCGAGGTGGGAGGCATATTTTCTCAGTAGTCGCTTTTTAGTGCTTTGCTTTAATTTCTGAAGCTTAAAATGAGTACTAGAAGCACTATCTTTTGCTAAATTCAGATGATCACGGAGCCGTTGGATTCTATGCACAGAGACTTCGAGGCCCGCCGCAAATTCTGCTACCCGTGACGGGCTGACGACTTCCATGTTTACAGCAAGCGCAACGCAAATTTCTTGGAACATCTGGGAACGGGTGGCCTTGTCAGCGGGGTTTCGATCAGTGCGCACGTAGCAAAAGTACGGAACAACATCTTCGGAGGTGCAGAACTTTGCTACCTCCCCTGCTAAGGCTGTACCAAGCGGACAGCTACTACAGCCTTTGTGCATCACCAGCATTCCGCCGACATTGTCGACATGGATTGTCGCGTGGACCTTCTCCAGACCGAAGTACTTGATGGCGCACAGGGTTGCGAGGATCTCATAGCAAAATATTGATTTGTTCCGCAGCCACTGCGGAAGGTCCGTTTGCTGTGCCTGAATTGTGAAGACGCGTGGCGGGCCGTCCTCGGTCAGGAGTACTGCGCCCATCAGCACCTCTGCCCCACTACCCGCCATGGCGGCGTCGGTGTACAGGTGCACCCTCGGTCGTGCTAGGCTGCGACGATCGAGTGACAGGGCTGAGTAGTCGCTAAGGGCTTCCCGCACGTCGCGGAGCGCCGTCGCCATAGCAATGACGGCTTTTGGAGATTTCATCATCTGCAGAAAAACTCCTTCTTCAAGCCACGGCGAAATTCCCATGAAGGCCGCCAAAGCTGGTCTGTGCGCCCTCGCGAACAGGATGAAGCACAGGCAGCCCTGAACCTTCTGCAGCGCACTTATTTCCAGGGAACCACGGACCACGGCGTCCTCAGCTTCCCGAAGCTCGCTCTGGATCTCCTTCACCTTAGCGGGTGGGGCGTAAACCCGCATGCGCGGGTTGTCCGGCTGGTCCAGGTCGGTTTCAAAGCAGACGCCGAGCACTGGGAGCGGCCCTTGCTGTATTTCGCGGTCGATCACTATTGTGCCCGGCCGCGCGCCATGCCGCTCTAGTTTTTTGTTGTCCGCCCGGAAGCCCAGCCATCGAACGACGTCCGCGATAAGCTGGTGGAAATCCCTAGCAGCCGCGCGCCCAACTAGTGCCAAGATGTCGTCAACATATATCCACACGGGCAAGCCAAAACGCCGAAACAGGCGTTCGAACAGCACCGAAACTACCAGCCAGGACATTATTGACCGGATGTTGCCCATGGTGCAACTGTTGCTCATGAACGTTGCCCACCTTTCTTCGTCTTCGTTGTACATGGCGCACAGATTCTTCTCCGGTGATTGCACCGGAAGCTGGTAGAAGGCATTGCTCAAATCGACTTTCAATATCCAAGGGAGCCACCCGGTGGCTCCCTTTCCTCGCCTCCCCTTGTCCGCGCGGGGCCGCTTGATCAGTTTGGCGAAGGTCAGGCTCTTCTCCTTCTCAATGTCGTGCATGACATCGCTGCGCATCTGCATCACTGGGCTGTCCCTCTGCCCGCCGAGGCAGTAGGACACTGCCTGCACTATCTTCGCCACGCTGGGCAGACTAGCATGCTCCCCCACACGGGTGTGCTTCGTGTTTCTCTCGACTTCGTGCACTATTGTCCGGCACTTCAAGTACCTATTCTCCGACTCGCTCCACTTCTGCAACAGTGGGAACATGATGGTCACTATCTCGCCCTTTGGGATTGGGCCCGTGACCTCCTGCAGCACAGTGCCTGCACGGAGCTCCTTTGTCTCTTCCCATTGGCGCCGGCGCGCCTCGGGTGTCCCGACCGGCCGGTCGGTGCGCTCCGGTAGCACGGTCTCGTCCACGAAAAAATCCGTGGTAGCCTCCTCAAACATCTGCTGCTCTAGTTCGGAGAGGGGCCGGGCAGCTGGCCATAGTCCTGTTGGCAGCCATGCGCCTTGATGCTGGAAACCCTGGATCCACGGGCTGCTGCTTATGCCTCCCCCCGGTGCCCGGGCGAGGAAGTCGATTCCTAGCTCGTCCGATAGAGTTGCCAAAAGAACTGGCCGCTTTACCGATTCACCCACG